TGTGCAGGGCAATTCTCATACAGATCTAGATAGTCAAGAGATCTAGACGCCGTGTTGTCATCACTCTCTTTCACAAACTACTTCACTTCCATGGCTGTATATGAATGCTACTAGCTCAAACAATCCCGTTCCGATATGACGCGTTCATGATGTTCATAGCCGGATCAGGGCTCTTCTCTCGTCAAGTGAAAATTTGAAGTGAATCTCTATTCTTTACATGAGAAATGATGTCTCGTTCTTACTGTTCGTGTCTGTATACCTGTTTGATACCGGGACATCAAACGTTGCCGGCCTGGACAGGCATGCTTGCTGCTAGGTACTTGTCTGCAAGCTTGAGAGTCGGGGGCAAGTATTGGCTTTTACCCTCAGTAGCTAAAACTCGTTTTAGGATTCTTTCCTCGACATAACATCTAGTGTTTAGCTATAGTAAGAAACACGGTCTTGATATCGACTTGGTGACAGCACTGTCACTTCCTTAGGCTGGTATAAGAACCATGGCTTCTTTTTTTTCCATAGCTCAGAAGCGAAGAATATAGTCGCGTGTAGCCAGGTTCGCCTCTGGCTTCACGTTGGTAAACGTATTCGAATCCGAATACGTAGGGCGAAGGGAGCTAGCTGTCTAGGGAATGATAAACGCTATAAGAGAATGTGTTCAACATAAAGAATGAATAATATCACCAAGAAAGAACGTCGATATAAGGCAGCAGCATCACTCTCACATGCAGTCCGACTAGACCCAAACCCCGGGAACCCGCCAACCTTGCCTTTCGATCTTATCCTCAACTCCTGACTTACAAGACTACGAGAGGAGCAGAGTAAAGGGTACATAGATTATAGATTTAAAGGACGGAGCACCCCGCATTTCGAAGCTGCCGAGGCCATCCAGCTGAGTGGTTGATTAGTATGAACAAACCGGGACGCTGGTGTTTCTCAGGCATATGGTTCGACTCCTACAACCCAGCTGTTCGACAGTCAAGTTTGCCTCTGCTGACATATCATCACAAGAGCACGCAACACGTTCGGTATACATGAAGCAGGTCAAAGGGTCAAGTCTCACTGAACGCCGCGAACTTTTCTATTCTACATGGGTAACTTCATGATGCTCTCAACTCCTCACAGAAGCCTTTAGGGCCCCATCCAGCCTTTCCAAGTCAGGGCTCACACTCTCGTGGCTCTTGAGCGTCATGACTGCCGCCTTTTGCGCGACATCGATCAAGTCCTCCACCTTGCCCCCCTTTGACAGGCCAGCAATGAGAACTCCCAAGAATGTATCACCAACCCCATTGACGGATACAATCTCGTCGAGGGCAACCTTCTCAGCAGGCGGGAACAGGCGCATGTAGACGCCGCCGACGGTGGGATGATCAACGTAGCCTCTCGTAAGCAGCCACTTCTCTTCGTTTCTGTCCTTGAGTCTGGGATCATTCTTGCCCAGAATCGTAGTCAGGAGAACACCCTTGGACCCCAGCTTTGTGACTAGGGTAGGGATGTACGGCAGGAGGTGAACCGTCTGCACGGGGATGCCCGCGTCAGTCATCTCCTTGGACGTAAGAGCCACGAAGCGGTCTCGCGCACCGCGCATGTTGAAGGCGTCAATAACCTCGAACCACTCGGGCGTATCAAAGAAGCCATTCTCCTTGGCCGCGCTATACATGGCGTTAAGCTCAAAATTATTGGGCGACGCGATGTCGATGCCGGGGCTGGGAAAGACGCCGAGGTGCGGGTGCTCTTTGGGAAAGAGACCGATGGACTTGGCCGTCGAGACGGGCTCAAAGGCGACTTTGCACCCTTGCTCGCGGCCGGCGTCGATCCACGCCCGGACGTCCTTGGGGCTCCAGTTGCCGTCGACGACGAGCCATGCCGGCTTGGCGCCGGCGACGGCGGACTTCCAGTAGTCTGGGAAGGAGTGGTTGGCGAAGATGCCCATGTCGGCCATGGCCATGACGAGGTTCTTCTCGGCGTCGTTGACGGCGACGTACTGCGCCGTGCGGTTCGCGACGTGGTACTCGGAGGTGAGCTGGCGGATGTAGGTTGTCTCGAGGCCTGAAGCTTTGAGAGAGGACAGGACGGTTGCGCCGGCGCTTTTCACTTCGTTAGGTGTGGAATTGTAGGTATAAGGGGGGAGCGGGCTTACACATCGTCACCGATCAAGCTACATAGGCGTACTGTCGTGTCTTTGCTTACTCTGTGAGCTGCTAGAGCGACGTTGTGACCGACGCCGCCGATGGACTGGTTGATACAAGCAGGGTTTGAGGTTTGCATATGAGGCGCGACCTCTTTCTTGTCACCCAGGGGATGGTAGTCGCAGCTCAGGTCAATCGCTACGGAGCCCGCCACAAGCACATCAGCCTTGCTGGACTTGGGTTCTTCCACTTTGACGGTAGCTTTAGGGGGAATGTCATAACCAGAAACATGCGTGCTCGAAGAACTATCTACGCAGTCAGAGTCCGAGTCCCCGGCTGAGCTATATACAACGAAATCGAAAACTTACGATTTCGAAACGCCCTCGTTCAGCAGTTTCGAGAGCTCCACCGAGATCTTGGTAGCCCGCGCCACGTTGGACCTCACCAACGCCTTGTTGGCCAGCGTGCTTCGCTCCTCCGTCAGCTGCCTGATCCTGCCGAGGACGTAGGGCGTGTTCTTGGCGCCCGTGAAGCCCTTCTCAATGGCCTCCGTGACCGCCGTCTCGATGACGGCGTCCATCTCCGCGCGGGGGATGCCGTACTCCTCGGGGATCGGGTTGGCGAAGAGCATGCCGGACTCGATGCCTAGGCTTTCTTGCGCCAAGATCATGGCGGCGGCCTCGCGCTCGGTCTGGACGACCGCGGGGCTCTTTGTGCCGCTCTCGCGGGCCCAAAAGGCGGGGAAATCGACGTTGCCGGTTCTGCCGTCGGCGAAAGTCGCGACGAAGGCGCCGTGCGTCTCGAGGAACTCGAGCGTGCGCGGGATGTCGAGGAAACCCTTGCAGCCTGAGCTCACGACGGCCACGCGCGTGCGGCCGAGCTCCGTGAGGTCTGCGGAGACGTCGAGGGAGTTCTCGCCGCCGCGGTGAACGCCGCCTAGGCCGCCAGTGCCGAAGACGCGGATGCCTGCGAGTCTTGAGAGTAGCATGGTTCCGGCAATGGTGGTGCCGCCATGGACCTTCTTTCCAGTGATTCCCTGAGATATGTTAGAACTGAGGCATGGAATGTGTGCAGAAGACGTCTGTCAATGGACCAACATGAATGATAGCGCAATGCTATCTAGTGACTTACCAGTCCAACGAGGTGAGCAACATCTCTCCTCGACACCTTGCCCGCCGTGCCAGAATCGACCATGAAGGCAACCTCAGCTTCCGTCATTCCGACGATAGGCTCGCCGTTCAGGATACCACACACAGCAGGAACACCGCCGCCCTGACGGACAATGTCTTCCAGACCGAGATCATTGCCCAGCGCACCGTGTGTGTAGATTGTAGACTCCAAAGCCACAACCGGCTTATTTGTGGCAACGGCATCGGCAACCTCTTCAGAAACACGCAGGAGATTCTTCAGTCCGCCTGATTGGTATGCAGCGGCGCTCATGTGACGACGTGCTGCGTTGGCCCCAACAATTTGGCGTGAGAGCTGCAGCTGCGAGAGAGCTTGTCTGGCCAAGCGGCAAGATGAGCGTGGGACAATCATGTTTGATAGACGACGGCGATGTGCCGTGCCCCTGGTTGCTTGGTTGTTCGTTGTGGATGAACTGATCAATGTTTTGCTTCTTCGACAAAGAGAGTGGCTGCCAAGCTTGTCGTATTAAGATATGAAAGTCGAGACTGCTACTGAGAGCTGAACACGATTCAATTAAGCTCGCTGGGTGCTCAACATATAAGATGAACGTCTAGCTTTCAAGAGCAGCGGAATACGGCGATATGAGAAGACGCCCTGCCAAGTACCCAGAGCCGAGGTGCACGCCCTCCGAAATACAGTGGTGCTTACCTTACTTACAAGGAAGGTCCAGACTGGAACCCCACCGCGCCACGCTGCCTGTGGCTTAGCGTAGGTCGATTTCGCGATCCCACGATACTCACTCTCACAACTCATAACCATGACAAAAACTTCACAAACACCACCCATTCTTCACGATAACTCATAAAATGATGAGTCCGGGCAAAAGAGTACTCCTCGACGGGGAATTGAACCCCGGTCCCCTGCGTTTCATTGAATTTCAGTGACAAGCAGATATCCTCACCACTAGACTATCGGGGATGTGTGGATGTTTTCATCCAGTGATAGTTAGTTGACGGCTCAGACCCGCTGAGGGTATATGAATAACCCATCTCTTAGCGCAAGAACAGACATAGCCCTAAGCTTAGTAAAATAGTATACCGGCCGAGACATATTTTAATCCCTTTTTATTACTACTACCTCTCTCATTGCCTCTCTCATTGCCTCTCTCATTGCCTCTCTTATTATACTCTTTCTTAGCTTCTCAAGACATATTATCAATGGAATAATTATAGAGTAAAGAAAAGCAATTGTCTTAGCAATAATGATAGTATTAGGAATAGAGCTCAAGATATACTTAGACTTGGGGATACCGATTTTTAGTCCGATCTCTTACTCCCGTCGGGGTCAAGGAAGCAGGCCTTCTCGAGGGTGTCTTTCTCTTCGTCGTCGGGGAGGTTGAGAGTAACAGCAAATAAAGTCATATACTATTACAAGACACCGACCTGCCATTCTATTGTGGGACAGGTCGAGGCACTAAAACCCTCGGCCTCTTTATAGCTTTCTGCTTTGCAGGATAAAGTTGCCACGGACCCGGCTCGGTATATACACGGCCACTACATAAACACTACAATCAGCCTATCATAGCGCACATAAACACTGTCGACTGTGGGTTCATCACGGGCTTGATCACCGAGGGCGATGGAAAAGAGTATACCTGCCTGAGCCACTTTATCGACCACTGGCCGACCATCGATAGCTACCTTGCCAGGGAGTCTGATAGCTTCGTCGTGCTTCTATAGAAGCTGCCCGATGGATTTTCCCCTTGGTAGTAGTCGCGATGCCATCTTCATTGTCGGTGTCGCTACCACAGGCTGTGTAGCTGCTCAGAGAGTAAACAAGGTGGTAAGGCCAGATCTGGATACGAGCTTAATATACTCTTACGCGGGTGATAGATTCATCCACTGCTCTCCTGGGCCAAATCTGCCACTCTTATAGCGAACAAAGGAAAACAATAATATATATATATGTTTTTTTTAGAGAAATGCTTTAGCTTATTCTGTATTGTTATATATTACTCTATCAATTGTTTTTGGCTTATTCCGTGCTGAATAGGCCTTGGTTGGAATGTGAGAGCTTGAGAGGGCCGGCGAAAGGTTTTTGGCTTTATTCGTCACAGGGTCTCTTTTGTGAGCTGTGTATCAACGACATCACGGCGCCAGAGCAGCGAAAGCAGCGGCAATGGCCAGACGAAGCACACCTGAAGCGCCACCAGGAAACAAAGTTTCATGTCGGCTACGAAGCTTGGTGCAGACGCGTCAAGTTTATCAAGAAGACACACAAGAGCACGGGATATGAATGCGAACTTTATGCGAGTTCTGCGCCCCCCAAGGCCCCCGTCCATCTCTTCGCCACAGTCGACGAGCTCGAGCGTCACATCTCCGGATCAGATTCTGGTGGTATCACGGGCATTCGGGCGGCTTGGGTGACGGAGCCTGCGATTATCGAGCAGCACGATGCCTTGAAGCAAGCTCTGGGATGGGATCGACCGGAGTTCCGATCCTCCGCTGCCGGTGAGCAGCGGAACCAGGCTGATCGTAGCAAGAAACGAAAGAGCCGCGGGTGGCAGTCTGAGAATCTCCGGGAGCTCGACGATGGACTTGATGTCCCAGGAAATCCGGCCATCATCTTGGGCGGACCGCGCAGGCCAAGCTTTCCAGCCATCAACGACAGAAAGGGCAGTGTACTTTTGTACCCAGCTCAAGAGATACTACCAGAACGTTTAGCGGATTTGCTCTCGATTGCATTCACCGTCCCGGATGAGCATGTGGGTGTGCCGGATGCTGAGTCAACTGTGCACGCACACCTTGCCAACCACCGCTCGAGTATGGTTACTATTCTGCCGCCCCCAGGCACGAACGACAACACGCCTAGCCACCATCTTGACATCATAAGCCTTGTCAACAACAAGGCCGGCACGTCCAAGCCCTGAGAGGATGCTGGGTTTAATGATATGACTTATACGAGCAGTGTGGAGAGACATGATTCGCGGCTTTACTCAGGGGAGGAGTGTCGTGAAGGTGACGAAAGGGGGACGGCCGAGTCGCCGGGGACGAATACTTACTTTGCAAAACAACTGCTTGCCTCATAAGTTCAAACTGGCCTGGTCTTTTCTCTCCTTTTTTTCCTAGGAGATAGCAAGATATTATGAAGTTCAATGTCCAACAGCCTCACCAATGCCTCTTGTAGATTCACAGTCCGTTTCTCATACCAGAGGCACTTGATGTACATTGCCTCTCTGCGGAAAGAAACGAAATTTGAGTTCCCCATGATTTGACGTGTTCAAGTGACGTGATGGAGAATCTTACAGTACAATGTCCCTTGAAGCTTCATATTCAAATCGTGTATGGCACAGTACGATAACAGCAGCCAGAACGGTCGGGACACGTTGTCAATCTTCGTTGGATGTCTTGTAGGTAGCTGTCTAAAGTATGCTTCTGCAACGTGAATCTGATACGTGATACATAGCTCCCAACGCTTCATGCACCATGGAGTGCGCCCTATAGTTCTATCTCTCATTGACATGCCAGATGATGCTCCCTTTCGCGTTCAAACGACCATTCTCTACCACACTATCACTCTTTGCTGTTATTGGAGTTGCTCGAGCCGGTCTTCCGGCGCTTCTGGCGTGATGGCCTTTGCAGAGACTCGTCGGAATCCGACGGCTCCACCTGTGTGGCTGCTGCTCTCTTGACTCTGTCGGCACCCAGTGCCAAGTAGAGGTCCTCAATCCCCTCCTGCGAGAGGCTGACGAGGGCAGTGACGAGATCATCATCTATGCTACGGTTAACATACGCATCCAACTCCGAGTAAAAGGACTTTGTACTTACTCGACTCGGAAGAATCCGACTCCAACTCGTCGCATATGGCGTCCCTGAACTCGGTGGCATTGTGGCCAAACGTGGCAGTACTGCCTCGCTTGACATACGGCTTGTACTTCTTGCGTGCGATGAAGGAGTCGTATTTGGTTGTGACTACTGCCCAAAACTGCTCCTTGATGCATCGAACGGCAGCCTCGTCCTCGTCGTCACCCTCATTGTCCGACTCATCCTTGCGCTTTTTGCCTTTGCTTATGCTTTGCTCAAGGTTAGTTACAATGTCTAGTTATAGAAGAACCAATGAAGGGGCTGCCTGGCTCTTCACCGTGCTCAAGAGAAGTCATACTTTTCACTCTTTGTGAGCTGCTGCTCGATCCTCGTCAACAGCTTGAGCATCAGTACATTCTGCCGACATAAGACCTCAAGATTGTTCAGGACTACTTGGTCCGAGAGGCTCAGGACGGACGCATCCCGGGGCATCGCCCACATCGCGGTTTTTTGTACGTCTACCTCAACGTCGGGTAGCTGGGTGGTTGTCTTTCTCGCTCGGGGCAGTGTACTTTAAGTAGGGTTTATCGTCTCTGTAGGGAAGAAAATTGGACGTGTACGTGAGAGGACACTCGGTGGTGCGGCTGGGGGGGGGGGGGGGGGTGTGTGTGTTGTTGGTGTGGGGGTGGGGGGTTGTTTTGTTGGTGTGGGTGTTTGGGGGGGGGGGAGGGAGGGGGGGGGGGGGGGGGGGGGGGGGGGGGGGGGGGGGGGGGGGGGGGGGGGGGGGGGGGGATCAGAAAAGATCAGGCTGCTTCGTACGAAATCGAAAACTTGATGACTCTCGTAAGAAACAAAAGGATAATGTACTTCGTGTGACTAGATGTGAAAGTGTACCGGCCGAGTCGACGTGATCACATGGAATGATGGAGATTTGAACGTTGGTTATTCAGACCCGACGATGCTAGACTGAGAAAGCTGAGATTTGGAGAGGACGAGAGGACGAGAGGGTAATGCTTTTTTTTTTGTGGGATTTGCCGATGTGCCTTGGGGTATGTCACGGGCGTGACGAGGTGAGAAGGAAATTGGTCTGCGGAAGGCACGATGTAGTCATTGCGCTTGCCCATCGTACCTTCCCACCCATCGTACCTTCCTACCCATCGTGCCTTCCTATCAACGTTACCCTCCCCCCCCCCCCCCCCCCCCCCCCCCCCCCCCCCCCCCCCCCCCCCCCCCCCCCCCCCCCCCCCCCCCCCCCCCCCCCCCACCCCACCCCCCCCCCCTCCCCCCCCCCCCCCCCCCCTTCCCCCCCCCCCCCCCCCCCGGTGCCTTCCCACACAACCACCCTTCCTCCTCCCATGCCTTCCTACCCAGCCGTCCTCCCTAAAACACTATCCTCGCTAGGTACATCACCATCCTCGCTGCTTCACCGTCCTCAACGCATCACCATACAACTGACTAGCTTCACGCTCTGAATCACTACTTATATCAGACATCTCTGGCGGCAGGCCGAGTAAACTTTTCGCTTCCTCTCACTTTTTTATATTCGGCTTCGACACCTCTACCTCTCTCGGGCGAACTCATCTCGCACACGAAGGCGTCATAAATTCATACAATTCAGAAAAGGACAGTGCCCTTTCACTCAACTATCACGCAACCCGAGGACAACATGGTCTCCAAGAAGCTGCGTCGCAGAGTGAAGGGCGAGGCCCAGAAACTTCGGCGTTTTTGCGCCGAGCATGAAGTGAGTCTCGCTCTGAATCTTTGGCTGTAAAAGGAGACACACTTATCCATTTGTTTAGGTTGGTCAGGCTTGGATGCGCTATAAGGCGGAAGTTGATGCGATCTCGATGGCCAGAAACCTCGCGAGATTGGACTTGGGCAACGACACCAAGGCCATCGAGGAGACGGGAGCCGAGCAGTCATCTCTGCCTTCATCAAGGCCCAAGAACAAGACGCAGCGACAAGCTACTCGTCGCAGGATTCATTACAAGGAGGACACAGACGGCGACATCTCTAGCGATGAAGGCGAGGACGATGACGATGACGAAGACGACGATCAGAGTACAGTCACGGAGGCCATTACCGACGATGGCATGAGTCTGTCAAGTCTCGCATCAGGAGAGGAGTACACAGCGGAGGAACTGGCCGACGCTCACACCAGCTTGATGGCCAAAAGAGCTATGCCCTTTTAGCGCGTGAGCAAGACGACGACGATAACCAAGTCTTGTTTATGGAGGTTAGTGATGACGAGGATGGCGACGATGATGAGGAGTACGAGGACGATGAGATGCTAGATGCGAGCTCGGTGGACTCCTTTATGGAGGAGGACGAGGCGGAAGTAGAGGATATTACGGCTTCGGAGAAAGTCTTCTTTGATATTGACGAAGGCTTTGCGGCTCAGAAGCGTAAGGGCGAGGAGCAGAGAGCGGCCAGGAACGAGGACAAGAAAGCGAGGCGTGCAAAGAAGAGAAAGCTGGCACAAGAAGTAGAGGAGTAGCTCAATTTCGGGGCATTTGGGACCCCTATGAAGCGAAAATAGACGCGTGCTGGGCAGTCTTTTATTTTGGTATTCTGAGAATTCATTCTGGTTTCCTACCTTTGACAAAGAGGTTGAATAGTCAAGACGACAAGAATAAGAAAGTCAGGAATGATAAGCAGGCCAGTAGGCATCGTAGTCTTCGCCTAGCATCTTCTTATTTGGTCACCCACTTGCCAGCCTGAGTCTCGCTTTGAGTACGGGCACATAGGTCTGCTCGCCGCCTGGCAGCGATACCATGACTGATGACGGCAATAGTTTGTCAAGTCTTGCGGCAGGGGAAGATTATACGGCAGAGGAACTGGACGACGCTCAGAATCAGCTGAACAACCAAAAGAGCTACGCCCTGATGCCGACGAGGACAAGAAAGTAAGACGAGCAAAAAAGAGGAAATTAGCAGAAGAAGTAGAGGATAACTAAAAAACAAAAAACAAAATAATATCTCTAAATACCAAGATCACAAACTACTAGTCAAGTAGGCAACACAGTCGTTTACCGCTCTATAAGTATCAAAGTACCTAGCTCTCTTATCCTTCTTCTTCAGAGTACTCTCTCATAAATATATAGAATACAAAGATAAGAAGAATGATGAAGACAGCGAGAACAATGAGGATAGTAAAAACAATAAGGATAATAAAAATAGTACAGGAAAGCTGCCTCTGCCCTGGCAGTCGGACTGATTTGGAGTAGCTGCAGCATTGTCATGCTGATGGTCGTGTCTCGCAGGGTTTCTCCGATGCTGAATGGCTTGATACCGTACTCAGTTGTGCCCTTGATGGGCAGCAATGTCCTGGGCCGTCTTCCAGACTTGGCTTCAACCGCGGTGCGATTATGATGGTTGTCTGCATTGGTTGGTGATTGGGGTGATGCCTGTTGTCTTTGTTTTCCCTTGGAGGCTTCATTTCCTCCCTCCCACCAAAGGCAGTAAGAACGATAAAGATAATAAGAAGGATAAAGATAGTGGAAACCTCAAGAATGAAGATAAGAAGAATAAGAAAGTCAGGAACAATTAAGAGGTAAGTAGGTATTATGGTCGAGTGTCGACCAGCATCTTATTTTGTCACCCACTTGCCAGTTTGAGTCTCGTTAGGAGGGGTCCTAAATGCCCCGCAATCGAGCCTTATCATCACTCAAGCACCATTGGTTGATTTGTTTTCTAGCGTGTACAACTACGCCAATCAAATCCTCCTTGAAGATGCAAGGCTGAAAGCTCCATTAAAAAAATTCTGGACGTCCTCTGCAAGCCGCTCGTCCATTCCCACCTCGATCCGCTGGTGCGCCCACGACCAAACGAGACAAGAAAATCACCACCGACCGGCGACAATGGCAAAAGAACAACCGTTTGAGCAATTCTCCGAAGAGGAAGAGGTCACCTCCTCCGAGGAGTCAGAATTTGAGGAGGAAGTCCCCCGCCAACGCAAACCGAAACCCGTGTTCGACGAAAAGGATTCCGACGAAGAGGAGCTCGAGAAGCTGGTCCTGGGAGGCAAGGCCGATTTCCGCGAACAGCTCTTCCGCAACGATGTTCTCGGCGATATCGAACGACTCGAGAGAGAAAAGAACCTCCAGCTCACCAAGCCGGACGACGAGCCCACACTAGAGGAAGTCGCCGACCACGATCTCTTCTTCCTCGACACCGGAGTCCCCGCGGCAAAGGGCGGCGCAAAGGCGGGCAGCAAGCAAGAGCCAGCGGCCGTTGACGAGAACGCGCCTGCGTGGGAGGACAGTGATGACGAGCGATTGACCGTTTCCCTAGCGGCCGCGACGAGGTTACGAAAGCTGCGCATCACCGAGGCCGAGGACATGGTCAGCGGCGCAGAGTACAGCAGAAGACTGAGACAGCAATTCGTCCGCCTCAACCCGCTGCCAAAATGGGCGCAAGAGCCTTCGTCCGAGGGAAGGCCCGCAAAGAGGAGAAGGCGCTCCTCGGCCGCCGCCTCCAACTCCTCTATTAGCTCCGACGAAGAAGGCAGCGATACGAACCTCTCCGCGGCGCCCCTCGAGAAGTTCATGCGCGACGTCCACCGCCTCGCCGGCAAAGGCGCTGCCAACGGCGGCAAAGCCCGCCTCCGCCCCGAAGTCATTGACATCCAGCGCACGCGCGAGATCCCCGACACCCACAAGGCAGCCGTCAACAACCTCTCCTTCCACCCGCGATACCCCGTCCTCCTCTCCTCGAGCGTCTCCTCCGTGCTCTACCTGCACCACCTCAACCCGACGGCCCACCCGACGCCGAACCCGATGCTTACCTCAGTGCAGGCCAAGGGCGTCGACGTCCGCCGCGCAGAGTTCCTCTACCCGTCGGGCGACCAAATTTTCTTCGCCGGCCGGCGCAAATTCTTCCACAGCTGGGACCTGCAGACGGGCAACGTGCAAAAGACGTCGCAGATCCAGGGCCACAGGCTCGAGCACAAGACCATGGAGCGCTTCAAGCTCAGCCCCTGCGGGCGGTACATGGGTCTCGTGGCGTCGACGCGCAAGGGTGGCGGCATCATCAACATCATCAGCACCGAGTCGAGGCAGTGGATCGCCGCCGCCCGGTTGGACAGCCGGCACGGCATCGCCGATTTCGTGTGGTGGAGCAACGGCGAGGGCATGTCAATCCTCGGTAGGGACGGCTCCGTCGGAGAGTACAGCGTGGCCGAGAAGCGGTTCCTGGCTGTATGGCACGACGATGGCTGCGTGGGCGGCATCGTCATCGCGCTGGGTGGCCATCAGGGCCCCGAACTCCTCGGCGACGACAGGTGGGTTGCCGTCGGCTCCAGCAGCGGCATCACCAACATTTACGATCGCCACACGCTCGTCAAGACGTCGTCCAAGGCCGGCGAGGTCGACGTCGAGCAGCGGCCCGAGCCGACGCGCACGTTTGAGCACCTCGTCACACCCATCACGGTGTTGACCTTCTCCCCCGACGGCCAGCTGATGGCATTCGGCAGCACAGAGTCCAAGGACGCGCTGCGCCTGGTTCACCTCCCCAGCTGCACCGTCTACAGGAACTGGCCCACGGAACAGACGCCCCTGGGCAGAATCACGAGCGTTGCGTTTGGGCGGAGCAGCGAGCTTCTCGCGGTCGGCAATGATACGGGCAAGATTAGAATGTGGGAGATTAGGAGTTAAGAAGGGTATCCAAAAAAGAAAATTCGGTTGGCATGTTTGTGTATTGAGGTTAATCATCTGGCGTGAGGGCCTGTCTTAATTACATCTTCCTGCATCAAAAACGGGCTGTCCTCTGTGCTCTTGCCATGTCGACCTTTCACTCATCTCTCATTTAGCATTAGAACCTCCCAGCATTAAAATCTCATCTTGCGCCGTAGGGAGCGGAGCGGATCGCCCTTGGGGAGCTCCTTGCTGGACATGAACATGCGGTTCTTGCGGCAATACCGTCCAAGCTGGGAGGGATTCTTGAAGAACTCGACCTCGCCGGGTCGGTTCTCGACACTGAGAAACTGCTTGATGCTGACGTGGACCGTCTTCAGGGCCTTTATTCATAGGAGATTCACACTGTCAGCCGCCGATATATCACGCAGTGCTTCTTGAGGGTAACTCACCTTTCGGCATTGGGTCTTGGTGGGCAGATCCGCTTCCAGACCCAGATCACCGCAGAGACGCTGCCAGTCGGCCAGCTCTCTCTTGCCAAAGTACTCCTCCCAGCGCGCGACGAGGTTCGTCTGAACCTTCGCCTGCTCCTTCTGGGTCAGCTTCCTGTTCATCCTTGGCGCGCTGTTCTCGCCGTTCGCCTTCTTCTCCTCATTAGGATCGACGTTCTTGGGGTTCTTGAGACCATCCAACGCCTCCTTCAGCTCAACACAATCCAAGATCGCATCATTACCCTTCTGATCATGACCGTCGTCGTTGCTGCCGCCGTCTGCATTCTCCTCCCTCTTGATGTTCAACTGGATCATCATCTCCTCAATGTCGCGAAGATCGGCGCCTCCTTCGCCTCCATTATTGCCATTCTCCTCCTCCTCCTCCTTCTTGATGGTGAGCTCGCCCATCATCTTCTCCAAGTTCTGCAGCTTGGCGCCTCCTTCCTCAGCTGCGGCCTTCTCCCGGGCCTTGCGGGCGGCGCTCTTGGTTCTGCGAGTCATTGTCGGTTTGCAGGAAAATGAATGAGGCCGTATCTGAGAGAAGTGAGTAGCGGATGAAAAAATGAGAAATTCTCAACTCAAAAGAGTACGAGAATGAAGCATGAGCCGATGCCGATATGACCGAAAGCGGTTTTATGCGGGCGCTCCGTTTGACCCGTGTTGGTTCAATAAGGGGGATAAGGTCGCACAAACCCGCCGCGGAAGGATGGCGATCGCAAAAGGTGGGAGAAAAGATGAAGTGAGGAACGAAGACTCACTCGACTGAGAAGCAGGCGTTTTTTGTTCCACTCGTGTATTTAGGATAATACTCAGAGCCATGGAGTATTGCGTCTCAACTTTAGAACGTACATGGACCCTGAATGGCGCAGCATGAGATTGTCTCTGGTCTTAGCACAAACCTTGATCCCAGTCATATTTAATTACAGCAAACTCAAACCAGATCCAGTGCAAGAGACGAGCAGGGGAATCATGTTCATTTACACGTCAAGAGACGTTCAAGTACTGATCGATGGCGGATGGGATTCTCTGTACCGCGTGGTCGTGTAGAGACAGCCGAGCAAGTTTGACACGTCCAATAAGGCGCTCGAGGTATACCATGTAAGACAGATTGAAAGACATGCCAAGTTTAGAGTAGCCTCGGAAGAGACAAACATTTCCCCGAGATAACCATCTGCGCCTCTTTGCCTACATAGGGGTAAAGAAAGAATAAGAAACAAAAATTCCACAAAATTGTATATGATACGATCGCACTATTGCAGCACTGCTCTGAAACATTATCATTTAGAAATAAATCTGGAGATCCCGTGGTTATGGACTCCGAGATAATCGTTCAAGGTGCTCGAGGCAAGGCACTCGAGGTTTAGATCCCATGCAAGCTTGTTCATTTATCTACCCTTGCCACGAGCCTCGAGTTTGGCCCCATTGCATTTCCAACTGTTGGTGAGTGGCGGTATGTCGGGCGAGCGCTCAAGGGCGGTAAACGCAACTTTCGGGAGACAAACGGCTCAAGTTACACAGAAGTCTTGATAACAAGGCTGACCTGGATCAGAGCAATGTCACAGAGTACGCACATATACCAGATCTGTTACAAGCGAGCATATAGAATGAGTAGTTCATACCGGTTTCTAGATTTCGTGCTTTTGATTGCCTAATTCTAGTAATAGCGACGTAGACTGCGCTTTTGATCAGGCAAAACAGCCCGCCATGCATCGCTTGCGCGCTTGCGTTGAAACCCGTTGTATCAAAACAAAGTACCCCAAACGCCAATTCATGCCAACATCCGGAT